GAGCGTGTGCGAGCGGAGCTAACCACGTTTTCCCTCTTCTCCTTCCTCTTCTCTTCTTCCCCCTTCCCTCCCTCTTGTCTTTGCAGCAAATGGAGCTGCTTCTGGTGAATAAGCTGAAATGGAATCTGGCTGCAATGACCCCCCACGATTTCATTGAACATTTCCTCACTAAAATGCCTCTGGCAGAGGACACCAAGCAGATCATCCGTAAACATGCTCAGACTTTTGTGGCTCTGTGCGCGACAGGTATGAGCCCTGCACGTTAAGCAAAGCGTGTTGCTCCCCTACACGCACCTACCCCCTGCCTTGTAAAGCCTCCCGTAGCTGTGGTCTAAAGCGAGCTCACAGAGCTGTGGGGAGGTAGTTTAAGCCCCGGTTATTGCCCCTTGTTTGCAGAAGGTGGATTACTTTGCAGAGGTAAGTTTTTTCAGAAGATACTTTGCTTCTGAGTCGAGTGCGTGGTGGTGCCAGGGAGGGAGAAGTACCCCCGGCTTTGTAGCTTAGCCGTGGAGTTGCAGCTCGGCGCGGCACGATTTCTTCACTTCTGTACGCCGGGTTTTATCTGGGGGCTGCAAAAGGCTCACTGCCCGTACGGGGAGTCCCTCCCTGTGTGGATTCATTCTTAAAAGACAGTTTTCGGAGGCGGAGGGCGATTTGGCTTGTGAATGGCTCTGCGTAGGGGGTTTTAAAACTTCCCTCTTCAAGTTGCCTCTTCCCCCCCCTCGTCGGTGGCTGGTGGATTGGAGGAGGGCCACGCGGCACAGAGCCTGGCACAGGACTGAGCCATCTGCACCCTTCGGACCACGTGCTGTGCTGAAGCCATGTGCAGGGCCGGCCTCCAAAGACGCCGACTGTTCGCTAGGCCAGGTTTGCAGAGGCCTGATCTTTGGTTTCAAGGGCACCGTGTGCGCGCGCGCGCGCGCGCGCTAGTTCTTTGAAGTTCCGTGTTTGCGTGCGGACTATGCATGTACGCATTTGTGCATGTACCGGCTTCGCCCACTGAACCCTAGCAAGTGGGAAGGAGAAAAAGTTTTAGAAGAGGCTTTCTGCTCTCCAAATCTCGCTGTTCCCACAGGAAAAGAGTGGAGGAGCAGGGACAAAAGAAGTTCTAGAGGGAAGATACTCTCCTTAAACAAAACGGGTTCAGCGCGTTTTCTTTTAGTATGGCGAGACCAATCCAGGAATGGCAAAAGGAAGAAAAAGCAGCCAAAACAAATCTGCTTTTGCAGTAGCACGTAAAGAGGAACGCCAGGCACTCTGTTGACGCTGATAAAAACTTAGTGTAAAGGAGACAGTACTTTAGTAAATGTTCCTGTTCAGTAGCAGTTGTGCTAAAAAAAAAAGAGATGAGGCCTGCATTTGGACTTGAGAAGAGGTACCCACACTTGAAAACGTCGGTGGGATGTGTGTGGTCAATGGCACAAATTAACGTGTAGTTTATTTCCCAGAGATGGATTTGGTATAAAAAGATCGAAGAAAGATTGCAGGCACTCAGAAGAAAAATTTTATTTCATAGAATCAGCCCTACTGCAAGGCCTAAAGATAGAACAACCAAGCCATAAAAGAGAAATTTATAAACACTGGCATTGCTTTTCATCTTGGGCCTAACATCAGCATAGCGGGCAGCTCGTAAGTTAGATTGCCTGGAATAATGCTCCGTGTTCGGAGAGCTACAACCTTCAACCAGCCTTCAGACTACCTGCAGCAACATTTTGGGAAAATCAGACGTAACTCTCCATTCCAGATTCCACCAGATAAGGCTGCTGCGACTCTGAATGCGTGACTTGCTAAGTTTGAAGCTTCCTCGGCTGTTAGCTAAAAAGAACAGCTACCCGGCCTCCCCTTTGGATGTGGGGATGTTTAACCTAGGTTGTTGTGCTGGCAATGACAGGGATGAAAACAAGAGTAGTTCAAAGGTTGGAGACTTGCTAAGAGTCCAGTACTTTGATCTACTGTCGGTGTTGTTATATTTCTTTTAGGAAGCACATCCAGAGCCTTTATTTAACACTGCTACACACCACAGCTGGAGAATGGATCAGTAAATGAGAACCATGTTCTGGGAGTTTTACGTAGCTCTTAAAAAAACCCGTGCTGAGCTCACCAGAATTGGGGCCCTCTTCAGCTCCCTACTGAAGCTGGGAATATTGCCTGGGGAAAGAGCGCGCAGGAAGGCTGCCACTAGGCTCTGTATTTTTATTATTTTTGGATGTCAGGATTTTCTCTACCTCTTGCTTTCCTCATGACTTTTTTGTTGGCTAGTGAAGATCACATGTGGCTTAAGTAGCATCTGGACTTTGCTTTGCTGTTGCTGGGTTGTGTTGTATTTCCCCTTGCCAAAATGAACCTAGATGGACTGCAAACGCGTTGTGCTGCCTGGATGCTGTGCGGCCCAATCCAAAGTCCACTGGAAACACTGACACTCGCTTAAGTGGCCTCGGGGGCAAGTGCAGTAGATCCTTTGCTTGAAGTACAGCCTGTGTCCTCTACGGTAAAGGAGGGTCTCCTAACAAGAGACGGCAAAATAATGCTTGCTTAGAAAACAAAACCTCCGCCAGTTGGCTTAACAAGGTGAAGGCTGTGGAAGTGTTTGTGGATGAGTATGTGTTTGCTCCAGAAAAAAGGTTATGCTGCAAGGTGAAGGTGAGGGGAATTCCTTCTAAGGTCCCTCCTCTTCAGTTGTCTGGCTAGTAGAAGTGGATTTGTTTGATTTGGTTTAGTTTTGAAAAATCCATTTTCACCAAAGGATGTCTTTGTGCTGTGGTAGGTTCGGGAGAAAAAGCAAAAAAGAAAAAAAAAAAAATTACCAGGGGTTGTTTGAAGTTAACACATAATTGAGCTTAATGAATGGGGCTTTGGCATGGCCGAGCAAGGCAGGGAGAGCTCAAAAGGAAGCAGGCCTCTTTTGGCCCAAGTTAAGACCAGTGTTGAGGGAGAACTGCAGCTCTATACAAGCGTAACAATGAATAGCAACAAATATTGGAGCTTCAGCATTTCATTATGTTCCTCTGGTTATCAAAACATACCAGGCTCCTTTTATATTATTATTATTGCTATTATTATTGTTGCTTTCCTCCTCTCGGATGGAGAAAGAAAGATCCCCCTTTGAAACAAGCGTGTTACAATTCTCCTATTCTCTGGCCTTTATAAAATTGGAAGTCTCAAGGTATGTGACCAGTTGGAACCTGTTGCATCTTGCAGCAAGTGATTTATGTTCGCAGTTTTGATTTGCCTCAATGAAAAGATTTTCATTCATAGCCCCCAGCTCTCCAGACGGATGGAATTGCTGCTCCATTTAAAAAGGAAAAGGGGTGACTCGCCTTGTTAGGAATTTTTTTTAAAGCGCTGCAGCGCCTATATGCCTGCTTTGTCCTCCCTTCAGGGTGGCTGGCATTCTTCTCTCTCCTCCCCCTCCTCTCTCTCTCTCTCTCTCTCTTTTTAACAACGCTGAAGTTGTTTATTCTTTTTGGATGAAGTCTCAGATAGGCTACTGGGGATGTGTGCTTCAATTGATGGGGCCCCCTACCCCATTGTGGCTGTGTCAGGTCTAATTCATCTCACCGAAGCCCCCTTGTTCCTGAGCGCTCAATAGCGCAAGATGAGGCGATGGAGGCTGACAATGATGCCACACTCTTCACTTGGGGGCATCCAATTACAGGCGAGAGGGGCCCCCTGATTAATATGCTGAAATTAGTGGCCTCTGCCACAAATAATTCCTTGTTGAGTTGCAACAAAAAGGCAGTCCATGCTGCTTGTCTGGAGTGGTTATAGGGACAGACACAAACTGGTCATTTAAACTTCATTATCACTTTTCCACCTTGGAAAGAATGAGGGTGTGACTATGAATTCATGTTCTTGTTTACTGCTCCATTTAAAAGAAGAACGCAAATATTAATCCCAAACGTGATCCTGTCAGGACAGACTCATTAAACTGACACATTTTGGTCATGTTCTGTTTGTGGAGCTCAGTAAATAGTGTCGCGAACGCGCTGCCACTGTACCCCTCTGAGCAACCCCATCTTGGTGGAAGTCACGCTTGCCTACTGAAATCCCTCATTTCTGAAGTCCACCTGCAACCGTGTATCAGTATTTCAGTTGGGGGACTGGCTTTGGAATGTCATGTATAGTGTCAATGAGCAAGTCTGGGCTACTTTGATTTTTAAGAATGAGAGAAGCTTGCTAGAAGGTGGGTGTATTTATATCTGCCCAGAAATGGGCAGATTAGGAAAAAGGGGATAAACTAAATTTATTTTAAGCACGGTAACGTAAATGAGATGACTTTTGATCAAGCTGGGCTTTTCGCTGGCAGTGCATCACAAAAGTTTGGCCACAATTCGTCCTATCGGTTTTACTTTTGAAGGTTCATAGAACACTGGGTGAAATGCCCCTTTGAAGGTGGGTATGGGTCAGGGCTACAGTGGAATGTCAGGGGTATATGAATAGATGCAGAGAGAGGACTTTTCATAGAGTCCTGAAGTCTTTAGTTTCACTGGTAAAACATTTACACAAAAGTTATTTTATCATAATAAAGGAGATGCATGATTTAATACTGAAACTGTTCCACTGAGCCCTCTAAGCTGTCCATTCCTTTGATTTCATTCAAGGGTTTGACAGATGGTTTATATTTTTTCAACCCAGAGGAAGTTGTATTCTGATAAAAGCTGAAGGAATGTATCTCAGGTTCTTGTGTATAATGTGGCATTTCCCTTTCTTCCTCACAAAATTAGACGTTTACTTGTGCCACTTACTTCCTTTGTTTCTGATTCTCCTCCAAGGTGTACCCTGCCACGGATCAAACGCATTCCTATTCAACAGGAGAAAGAGTCTTAGCATTAAAATGTGGATTATAAAAAAAAAACCCAACGAAACAAAAAAACAAACCAAAAACATGCTAAATGGCAGAGATAGCCCCTTAAGGAATCATGGGAGTGGCTTTGTGGAGAGACCTACAGCAATGCAGTCTGGAAGGGGGCCCAGCCTCTTGTCAGCATGGTGTCACATCAGAATGTAACTGATTGTCCGCCAATTCTTGGGACCCCCGTCACTTAGTTATGCCACATTTACATTAAATCCCTGTTGCCAGGATGGATGGCAGCCACTGACAAGAGACTAGGTTGAGACAAAGCATTTTTAAGATGAAACCTTAATTTAAATATGGATTATCTGCCTCCTGACAGGGTTAAGCAGTCTTTCTCTTTCTTCCTTTTTGTTGATGTTGTTGTTCATTAAAGCTATATTCCTTTGAATGTCGGTGCAAAGGTTTCTGCTCTGAAGGGCCCAAGGACTCCTTATTAGAGTGCACCTAGGATCCGATCATGCGAAGCGCTTCAGCGCGCGAACACGTTTTCTCAGATGCATAGTGCCATTGACCCCCGTGGCATTATTCACATGAGCGGAGTATTTTAACATTTGAAGAAGGGGGGACCTGCTTATGATAAAAATACCTCCAAGTGATGAATGGCTTCCCAGGCTCAGTGCTAGGAAGGGCTACTCGCTGAAGTGCAGTTGCTCATGTGGAGAAGTGTTTACAGGTTTGGACCTGTAACAGTTCAGAGCAGGAGGCACCTTTCTGCTCACAATTTTCCCTACCTTTTCGGGTGCACTAGTTGGCAGCTGAAGCCATGCTGCGAGAAAGAGCGTATGTGTATGGGAAAGCAATCATTTCAGTCTTTTTTTTTTTTTTTCTCTCCTTTCTTCATACAGATATTAAATTTATTTCAAACCCACCTTCCATGATCGCAGCTGGCAGTGTGGTAGCAGCTGTGCAAGGCCTGCATCTGGGGAACACTAACACTTTCCTCTCCTATCAATGCCTCACACATTTCCTATCACAAGTTATCAAATGTGATCCGGTAAGTGACTCTTTCTCTCGGTTGATCTCCTGCCTTAGAGTTTAAGAATGAATGCCCGCTCACTGCATAGTAGCTAATCTGACAGCAAATCTTGCTAAAAGTCAAACCTCAGAGTGGAGTTTTTGAACGTTTTCTCTTGTGTCCATCCTAGTTATTTAGCTGTCATTATATCCATTAATAATCTGTGATTACGCTGCTGCAGTTCACTGATAGGAATGCCACATCCAGCTCTAATGTTTGTAACAGGCGTATCTGACAAAGCAAAGGAAACCCTGCATCGACTTAGGACGTTGCAGAGGCTGTGTTTGGTTGTAGGTAATTATACCGGGAGTCTTTGTAAAACAAAACTTTGAAAATAAGACGAGGAAATAGTTACTGAGACCTTGTGGTATCTCTGACCTTATCTTTGACCATTCTCGAGGCCTTTTATTGTGCCAAGTGGTGTGAAAAAGCCCTTCTTAAAAGAGTTCTAATGATCTAATTTGGTTTATTACGTGCTAGACCTGCACAGTAGCTGGTATTGAATTCCTTTTCGGAACAAATGCTTGTCCCACGACTTTCTGACAAGGTAGATGGTCCTCACAGGACTCTCATTTTGCCCTGCAGCTTCCAGGAGATGCACATCAGTAACTAGTGAGCAATAAACCTTTCATGAGTGAATGGGCCAGGAAGGGAGCCTACAAGGAAGACCTAAAGTCAATGATCCATGTCATAATGGTGTGTGAAGTTGGGGCAGAGTTGAGCTTTGTTTTGTAACAATGTGGAAGACCAATAAATAGATGCTTTAAAAAGGTTCTTGTGAGGTCTCCAAGTGCTGGACAATGAGTCAAATAAAGACAACTCTGTGGTTAGCGGCAGAATCTTTTGAGATGCTGTTAAATTATTTTACATGTTAATAATTTAAATACATAGAGAACGGTACTAGTCGAGGCACTGCAAAACTAGGTTTTTATAATTGGGACTTTGTTGATAGGATTGAGTGATTTCTGGAGAGATGAATGCATCATCATTAATTATTCACAAAAGAGTATTTTACTTTTGATAGGCTATGTGAAAGAACTGCTGACAAATACGATATCTCAGCTTGTTATTTTGATCCCCTTAACAATGCCTCAGTATTGAGCACGCTATTTTTGCCATTTATATTACTGTAGCTAAAGTAATATGCATCCAGTGCTGAAATGTTACATACTATAAGAACTTCAAGTGCTGAAATAAAATGCTGCTCAGTTTCGTATGTATGTGCGATGCTTTTCAGTCAGTTTGTGAACAAGGTAGATATTTCGGTGTACGGTTGGCCACTATGCAGTGTGAGATATTTGAAGAAGGTACTGAGGAAAAATGCTGCTGTTCTGACAGTATCCAATTCAAACAACATTATTTAATCATTCCTGATTCAGAGCGTTGAAGTGGATTCTCTCCCATCTTGGAGAACCACAGTATGTCCTTATGTGACTTGATTTAGTCGATGACAGAGCTCTTTTAAAAGAAAAGAAAGTAGTTAGAGCAAGAAGAAGAATTCTTGCTTATTTCTTTTTTATTGTCCAGAGTCATTGCAAGGCCACAATGTGTATGACCTGAACTTAAAAGTTAACAGCTTTAGAAGGAAGTAACTCCCCTCCAGCTTTCATTGCTAAATGTAAATTTATGTGTTAGAGCAGCTAGAGGTAGAAATAAGGTTTTTGTATAGGTTGCTAGAGAAAATAAGCATCATAAAATTTTATGTTATGTATACATATACTGTTGTGTTTGTAATGGAATAAGGGAACAGCATCTTTCACTACTGCTGCGTTGGGCAGAGAAAAGGGCTTGGTTTCACATGTAGCATGATTCCCCTGCACAGACAAGTTCCCGTAAGATGTGCCTATGTAATCCATGGTAGCAAATGCTATTCCTCTGACCTCGTTTCGCTAGCATGTACCTGAAGTTTGTTACTCCACAGTGATGGTTCCCCTTGTCAGGCTGCACAAATGAATACCCTTTATATTGGATTGTCTTGAAATATTAAGAGCATGCATTATAACATGGCTAACATTCTCCCTGATTATCTATTAGCTAGAGCAGCCGGTCTGTTGGATTTCAGGTTATATAATTACACTTTTTTACCTTTAGTCTCAAAGAAAGCTGAATCTAAAGTAAAATGAATATCACCTGATTGGAATTCCTTTATGGTTCATGTTTACGTTGGTAGGAGTCCAATTTCCCATTTTGCCTTTGATCAGGGGTAATTAGAAGTCAGATAATCACAATTAGAAGTCTTGGGCTGTCTTCCATCATTCTATTCTTGACCCCATCATCCAAACAGATTGAATTTTACCTGACATTCATTTCCAGGCCAGAAATTTGCTAAACTAGATTAGATTGGGTTTCCATGCTGTCTGTTAGTGCATTGGAATTCGTCTCCTGCCTGCCCCTACTCAGAGGCACCTTCAGACATGTGCTTGTTACCCAGACCGGGTCAGGCAGTAACAAAGGATTTCCAAGCAGTTTCTTTTTTGTTGTTGTTTGTTTCCTTCAGTATCTGACCCTGGAGTCCGATCATGTCTACTGTGTGTGTTAAAGGTATTTGACCACATCAGTTAAGCTAGCAAGTCTTTTTTTTTTTTTCCTTTCCTTCACTGAGGAGCTTAATTAATCCAGGAAGGGTTTATGACCTTGAACAAACTGTGGGCATTGAAAATTTGGGTAGTGAAGCAGAAAAGTTGTTGGGAGAAGTTATCAGAGTAATGCACAAGTTTTGTATTTGCTTTTCAATGTTAAGAAGGCCTGAGAATGAAAAAAGCTTTGGTGAGGTTGTTCACAGTGAATTTGGTATTTTTCAGTTAGTTTTGCTAGCTCTGGTACATTCCTGCAGACAAACTATTCGTCTAACAGTCATCTGAATAAGACATGAACAAAAATGCCTAAAATGTAAAAAAATGTTGTTCATTCACTTAAGACATAGTCTGTTTATAATAAATTGTAAAGATTATGTTTAAAAAAAAATACAGTTACAACACGCTGTACTGAGAATCTCACAGGAAGAAAATATTCTGTGGTCCAAAATTACCTTTGAATTACATAGTCTATGTAATTCTTCATGACTGGACTCCAGAGGGAGAAGAATAGGTATTGATAGAAATTCTTTTGAATGGTTTTAGTTTTCAGAGCTCAAACATGCTATATGCAAATAGTTAGGATTAAAAAAAAAAAAACAAAAACAAACTGCAAAACCCCACCAAAACCCACCACACAATCCACCCCCCTCCCCCTCAAAAAAGCCAACAGGGTTCGTTTTGCTCTGAAAATAAATTGTCTTTCAGTTTGGGACACTGAACATGCTACCTTGTTAAAAGAGAATTAGCCTCAAAAATGCCTGGATTTGTAAAACCAAAAAAATAGCTAAACCTGTGTTCATGGACTACTCTTTAATACGTCTAATTCCACGTCTGACTGAGGTGCATGGTACAGGACACGCAAGTAGAAGCCTTACAGTCAGGATTGATCTGTCATATCTTGATAAGGGGTAAAAGGACTTCATAGAGATCCTATTGTGAAGGCCAGAGGTATGTAGGAGCCAAAGGCATGATGACTTTAGGATATGAGGCGTTTCTTTTTGTCATTTAAAACGCTGTGTGTCTCTGTCAAGAGGAAATATTACACTAGGGTTTAAACCAGGAAAGGTCATAGGTTATGTGTTTTCAGTGAGCTGTAACTGATGGTCTGATCTGCTTAGAGGTAGGATTAACCTCCCTCTCTCTCAGAAAGGACTTGCGGAGAATTGTTTGCTTGGGTTTCTAATCTTATTTTACCCCAAACGCCATGTGCCCTTATTGGTGGCAGAGGAGATTCTTGTGGTAGTAGAATCAGTGAAAAGCTGGTAGATCACACAAGAAGCCTCTGAATGAAGGCAGAATTGAAACTAGAAAATAAAGAAAACAGCAGGCAGGTCACCCTCTCAGGAAAACAACATTCATTCTCAGTCATGCACATCCTAACACTTTTGACGGCAATTTATCATGGAAGACTGGGTTCACCGCAAGGGCTAACACATGTCATAGGTTAAATCAGAAAAGGCAATACTGAAAGGAGACTTCAAAGTCCTTAATACGCAGAGTTAAATATGTTGAGAAAAAGCTTACGATGTTTGTTATAAAGATACGAGTAAACAGCATGCTGGAGGAATTTTGGCAAAATGTCACGTGCTCGTTTTGCCTATTTTAGGCACCATTTGTGTCGTTGCAATGGCTCTGAAGAACACAACCGTAACTTGCAGAAAGTTGAACAGGTTGAGCTGATAGGCCTCCAATTCTAATATCTGTGGATCGACAGGTAGAATTGGATATATCTACATAGGGTATGGTTTAATGCCTGGGGGAAGTTACCTTTCCCCACAGGAGTTGCGATCCTGCTTGGTGCTTTATGCTTTTCATTCACACCGAAGTCTGTGCGAGCGGCGAGGCCCTTGCACCCTCCCGAACACTCAGTAGGATTGTGTGCGCATTCAGCTCTGAGAAAATCCTTTTGAAGCAAGGGAAAGAGATCTCACCCTGATGGATATTTCAAGGTGAACGCGGTAGCAAACTGAAAGCTTGGCAGCACTTTACAATGCATGGTTACGAGATGCTTAGTGGTGCTTCTGAGAGATCTCTCCAGTTCAGGGTCATAAAGTCTGGTACATTGTTCTGTTCAGATGCTTTCTGAGTTAGCAGTCGGTTGGCTAACTTGAGCTGCCCGCTGCTGGACGTGGCAGCAGTTGGCAGGCAACTTTGGGCGCGTATCTCTAAATATATATATGGCACTGCTAAGAACTTCACATTATTGGAACACAGCCTGGGAAAATCACTGTTTATGACCATCACTTCTAGTAGACTGTACTGCCCAAGTGCTTCTGCGGTGAAAGTAGAAATCATAGAATCGTCACCGCATCAGCAATACTTGGACCAACTCTGACTCCGGCCCAGTTTTATGTCTTGGCACCTCCACTCATTTAATTTTGATTTTTGCCGTCCAGTCAGACTGTTCCTATTTTTTCAAAAGGTATAAAGGGCAGTGAGGTAAAAGGTGGCATGAGTGGACTTGTACAGAATTGCTGGAGCGTTAACAGCGCGGGCAGACCAGCAGCAGTGCAAGCTACCACACCTTGCTGTGCCAAGGTCCTGCCCAGGTTAGTCACTACACGTGTCACTGTAGTGGAGCGTCCATCCCTTTGAGTTATGGACCTACGAGCTGAGACTCACAACAAAACGGCAGTCATGGTCTGTCCGGGGTACGGAGGTGCTCACCTAGGCCATTAAACAGAAGATGGCAAGGGTTAGTTGCCAAAATCTGGATCCAGGCTAGCATCCTGCAGAAAACGGGGTAGCTCGTCCAATCCTGTCAGTGTTCGGTGTTTCTCTTGCTCTTCGCACACTCCGGTCAGTCTGCTGCCCTCCCAGATAACTTGGTTATAGTTCTTTTGCTTTTTCAAGAAACAGTATTTGGTCTGTGATCTTACTGTTTTTCTAAAGGACTCTGGGTCTTTCTCTCCTTCCGTTTAATCTCCTCTAGGATTGTTTACGAGCCTGCCAAGAACAGATCGAATCCCTCCTTGAATCCAGTCTACGTCAGGCACAGCAGCACAACGTATCTTCAGAAACAAAGACTGTAGAGGATGAAGCAGACCTTTCCTGCACACCTACTGATGTGCGAGATGTGAACATTTAAGAGGACTTCTAATGGGTTTGCTTGGCGAGAAAAGCAGACAAAGAAAGGGCATCTGAGAAGGAATCAGCTTCAGGATCTCCCCCCCAGAAACCCTTTTCTCCAGGACATTTTTATACCAGAAGGGAAAACCAGTCTTGTTATATTTTTTCTTGCTCTGTCTCCCTTCCATCTGTGACTTCAAACAAACAAATAAACAAAAAATACCCCAAAAACTGTCTTAAAAAAAGAAAAAAATAGTATTTGCATTACCCCCAGGGGTTTGTGCTACAAAAATAGAGGATTTTATACAATAATAATCAACTAGTTTTTATATTAAAGTGTTCTTGTCTGTATGTTGTAAAAATAGGCATTAACACACAAAATGTCTCCAGGGGAGGTATTAGATTTGATTTCTTACATACAAAACAAACCAACCAACCATTTTTAAAGTAGAAGAGGGTTTTTTTTTTTTAGATAGTAAATGAAATATCTTTTTTTTTTTTTTCTTTAAAAAGCATAGCTTTAACGCAGTTCTAGGCTTTTCTGTATCTTGCTTGCTTATGCATTTAGTCACTTTATAATTCATCTGTAAATGTTTATTTTATTTCCTTAGGTTTTTTTTATCCTCTTCACCTTATAAATGGTTAACATAACCCGTAAGTTAGTGTATGTTAGTATGCAGCATTATTATATGTTAATCTTTTTTTTGTGCCTGTGGATTGCCTGTGCATAAGGCATTTGTAGGGTTCCAGCTTAGCATTGTTGGGAAAGGCCAATGTACTACTCATACGATACTCTATTATAAAGAGAAACCGAAATAGTGACATAATATATTATATTTTTGTAATCTTCATATTTTTGTAGTTACCTGTGTAAAAATGCTGGTCTGACCCCACAGATATTCAGCCTAATTATGGTCAGGTTCAATCCACAGTTCAGTCTTTTTTTTTTTTTGTTGTTTGTTTGTAATATTCTAAAACCATTCCATTCAAAGCACTTTCAGTCCATTAGATATAGGAGATACATTCTTTTATTGTGTGGGAATTTTTTTTTAATGGAATGGTTTGGAAATATATAAGTGCTTGTTCGCAAACTTGGAATTGCAAAGCAAGTGCATTTAACTATGGTGTTAGAGGAGAGGTGATTTTTTTTTTCCGAAGGTTGTGTTCCAGTGAGAGAAATTGCATTCACAAATTGCCAGGATATCTTCCTATCCTTTTCTATAGAAAAGTTGAAGTTTAGAATCCTTTGGTGCCAACTCATCTTTATAAATTAGGGGCCTTAAAGGTTCACATATAGGACACATAGTTTAAGGATTGTCGCTAGATGTTTTACAACTGAAGGTTTTTAAACACTAAAATATATAATTTATAGTTAAGGCTAAAAAGAATATTTATTGCAGAGGATGTTCGTAAGGCCAGTATGATTTGTAAAATAATGCAATCGCCCCTTTTTTTAAAAAAAAAATCTTTCTACCCTTGATGTTGCAGTTTAACACAGCTTATTAAAGAAAAAAGGACACGCTTCAAAGAACAAACCCAAAACCAAGCCGTCTATTTGGCCCCTTCCTATACATTTTCAAAAGCAGTCTAACCAAGAAACAAACGCCATAGTTAATAGATACGAAAATTGGAGTACTTGAAAGAAGTTCTTATTCCAGTATATGCCCCATTTTTTTATTTAGCTACAAATAGAGAATTTGCACATCTTGGCTATGTATCTTTTTATTATTATTTTAGAAAGTAGCTGAAGGGACGTGGACATAGCTGTTGAAGTTGATGCTCGAGGAGAATGTGATGGTGAAATGTATGTGAGAAAACTGCCGCTAAGGTGTTGATTGTAAAAAAACAAAACAACAAAAAAACAAAAAAATGAAAAAAGAAAAAAAAATTAAAATTAAAAAAAAAAGAAAAAGAGAAAAGAAAAGGAGTGGATGCTCCATTTTTATTGAGCTGCTATGGATAAATTCCCAGCATGGTTTGAAAAAAAAATTAACATTGCTTTTCTGTATCTTTGTCATTGTGTTTTGCTGCTATTTTGTGGATCAGTTTTTTTTTTTTTGTTATACAATGTCATATACTGCCATGTTATAGGTTTTAATTTTCTCATAGAAAATTATATTATTGACATCATTTTTTTGTAGATTTTTTATGTGATCAATTTTTACTTAATGTGATTACTGCTCTATTCCAAAAAGGTTCCTGTTTCACAATACCTCATACTTCAGTTAACCGTGTCTAGACCAGGTTTTAATGTTCGTACACAGTGCCTCATAGTTCTACTGCAAACGGAAATGCATCGAACGTTATTCTGAATGGGTCTCGCGATTTGCAACTAGGTTGCATTAATTTAAAAACAGCAGACATTTCAGAAGATCAAGTAATGTCATTTTTTTTGTTGTTATGCATTTTATAAAGCTGGATTCTTTGTCTGATCTGGGGTTTATTATCATAGTAGTTTTAAGCTGTGTTATTAGCCACATTGATATATGAAAGGTGCATTATAATATAACTCTTGTATGCCACCTGATGTGGTCTCCCATCCGTTGGGACACATCATTTGGTATGATAGGTTATCTTCTGGAACTCTAAGTATTTTGTGTGTTTAATCTGTTATGATATACTAGTTTTTTGTTTTTGTTTGGTTTTTTTTTTTTAATTATAGCATAATGCTAATTTAAAAAGCCTGTAAATCTCATAAATAAGCCAGCTAACAGAGTTGTATGCTGAAGAATAATCTAGCTGTTGCCTGTATGCTGCTAAACCAAAACAGAATTAGAACTCATTTTGAGGCAAATGCAGTTAAGATCCTACATAGTGCATAAATAAAGCATTGCAATGCTACTAGCAGTCGCAGGACCCAGGAGGACTGGATACATTCTGTCCAAATTTCAGGAACATTTCTTACTGCTTACCTCATAAAACACTTCTGTTTGTGGCATCTCTGTGTCTCTGAACCAAACATGATTATTGAGTTAGTGCTTGTATTTTGTGTTACACTGAGTGGCAGTGTGTACTGCAAATTTCTTTAAAATATTGTATGTACTAAAAGGCCAAATCCAGATATGTGGGTTCACGTGCCAACAGAGATGCTTTATTTGTCACATTATTTTAACAATCTGTAGTAAGCAAGCAATTCAGATTTGTACATTTTTATATTGTACTTATTGGCATCACTGGTCTGAAATGCACATTTTCACCAACAGACCTGTAACAGACAAGTTTCCAGCAAAAAAAACTAAAGTCTAGAAATAAAATTGGTAAAACCCAACGTCTGCTTGTTGTCTTTTTTTTTTTTTTTTTTGAATTGCCATTGCCCTCACGCGTGCTGAACGGTAGTAACTACCCGATGCAGTGAGTAAACCACATGACATTTTCTGGTTTTGACTCTCCATGCTTTAATAGCTGCAATGCTGAAAACCTGTCATTACTGTAGGAAACCGTAGGCGTTTTTAGCAATGGGTAGGTGACTGCCTGTCACAGTGATACGTATTTTTAAAGAAGCAAAATAGTTTTTTTGCTGAAGACTTTCTTTTAAATAACTAAGGTAATCATTCAAGAGTAAAATACCCTTTGGTGGTTTTTGTCAATAAAAGGTGAAATAAAGTAGGTGTTGGATGGTACAGAATGCTTGTTTGTATTTATTAATGTAAGGTTTTGTGTCCTAGAATACCTATACAGAAGACGGTTTGTTTTAAAAGCCGTAAGGTTAACTTAGCCTTCTTTTCCATCCCTTCACCTCATACACAGCTTTTGCATCTTACTATTGTATCACTAAGATAATAAGGACTAAAACTGAAAAAATGTTAAAGCCTACTGAAAAAAAATAAGTAAAAAAGAACTGGACCTAGAAGGACAGAAAGTATTTATAATTATAAAGTAAAAAGAGAAAAATTATAACCTGTGTCCCAACTCACATTACAAAATACCTCTGAAAACTGGGGATGCACATTATGAATTATTACCAGAGCTGAACACCACAGAAACAGCCTGTTCTTAGTGGAGATGGTCAAGCTTCTAACCTACGTGTTTGACTATACCCTGTGAAAATATTTCTGCTTTAAAAAAAAAAAAAAAATCAGTCTACGTAAAATGTCATGTGCTTGTCTCTCCTGTTGCAAATTAGAAATCTAGTATCTGCCTCCTGAGTTTCCCATTGACTAAATTTCACATCATAACTGATTCGATGCAGTAAGTACAGCAAAGGAAATGAAAGATGAAACTCCTGAGATAACACCTAACATGTTACTCATAGTCTAGTGCAAAGTAAGTGTGTCTGAATGCATTTACCCATAAATGGGAAACCACCTGCATCAAAAGAATCCCAGCTGAGCTTGTATCAGCTTGTCAGCTTCCCAGTCATTTCAGACAGGAACCTGAACCATGTGGCCTAGATCAGGTAAAGTACTATCAGTACAAAGTGTCAGCTGGCATTTTTTCCAGTCAAAATGGGTAGCTCCTCAATCTGGCCAAGTTACCCTGGTAGGTCCTATCGAGGAGCTGGAAGGTTTGTATAGCAGTGAAAGAAGATCTGAACTAGATGACAGTGACTAAATACCGATCAAGCCAAAGCTTAAATTGGACTTGGTCAAAGCTACTCATTTACTCATTTTTTCCACACAGATCTTTCATCAGTTTTCTGCAAAATTTCAGCATATTTTACAGACAAAAAAAAAAAAAACAGTAAAAAACCAAAGGCTCGCTTTTGTATCACTGTGGCTAACACCTCTGATTTTAAATGTCTGAAAATTGAGTGAAGACATATGAAATCTTTATTTGGACAAACCCCTTTTTTCTGATAACAAAATAAATTGATTCAGTGATAAATTTAAACCTGCATTTTGTTGAACATGTTTATTGGGTTCTGCGTTTCCTATCTGTTTAAAACCTCTATTAAACCGACTAAAGTGTTCTGTGACTTATGTAGATTTAAGCCCACATGGTCAGCTCTGTTATTTACATTTTCCTTCCCTCAAACATCATCTCTAAATGCAGACTACTAAATTTGAATGTTGGGTGAACTATGCCAGTATTACTCACATTGCAAACGGCAGAAAGACAAGAATGTAGCAAGAAAAACAATTTACTATAGGCTATAAAAAAAAATGCATGTTCAGCTAGGCTATGCTGTAGCTTATTAAAGGGAAAAATACTGTATTTTCTCACATCAGATTGAGACTTGTACACAGAAAAACCTCCAAAAGACCTCCCAAACCCCTCAATTCCATTGCTGAATTCAGACCGATTGACAAGCTTAGACCTTTTTATGAACACTTAAAATTTACACACTCTTTATTAAAGAATAAACAAGATCTGTTAAACGTAAAAACTCGTAATCAACTTAAGTTCAAGCGTATCTGGCATTTTAAGTGATAGAAAATTCCAGAAGATGGAGGAGAAAGTGAAGCTTGGAGCTATTATTTCAAAGGAGTCATAGGAATGACCCAGGCATGTGGGCTAGATACCCTAATAAAGATTCCTGGCAACGTCATTGAAAAGC